ATCATTGTAAAATCAATACCTACATTCCTCGCTCCGCTCAGAATCTAAAATTATATGCGTGTATAATATATGTTTAAATATGCGTGTGTCCGGTGCGTGGGTGTATGAGTGTGTGTTTTGTGCATAATATGCATTAAATTCCAATTAGTTTTATTCTAGAGCACGTAATAAGGTGGATACGGAATTTCGAACTCGTAGGGTTGACAGAGGGTGAAACACATCGAAAATCGGTTGAAAATAAAATTGAATTATTTTCGTTTAATGTRAAATAAAACGATGAACAGAATTATATTATTTACTCTTATTGCATGTACAGTGTAGGTTACCGTATATACACATTCATATATATACATGCAGCACGGGCCATGCAGTTTGCTTATACTCAGTTAATAGTCAGCTTATTTTTATGTATGGCTCACGAAGGATACTTATCGGGGTATACAAAATACACCCACTGTCAATGAGGTTTTTGTCAAATGCTCGTAAAAATAATATATCGAGTGATATTATATGAGAAGAGCTGCAGTGTATGACTGAAATCTTCCTACAGAAAATTAACATCACTATTCAGTGCCACTGTTGTGMGTTGATTTTCGTTATAAGTTATCTTAGAGGTTTACATTTTTACTCAAAACTATACGCGTATACAAAATGTATTTTAATTCTATTCAAATTTTGAATCAATAGTTATAGCGCCATACTACCCAGCACGGCAGTACAAATCTGAGGATCAGTACTAAATAGTATATATATAGTGCACTTCTATCCAAAAATAAAAATAAAAATAAATACCATWATGGTCGGGAACCCCAACTCGGATGCAGCCTTTTCTTTCATATAATATATGGCGGCATGACCCGATTCGCCGCCTATARCCACCAACAAATTACGACCACGGCACAAAAGCCGGACAACGACGGCCACGTTGAAATAAAACGTACGGAATTAAACGCACTCACGCACACAATATATATATACAACTATACTGAAATACCAGATTCAGTAGGGGGGGACGATATAGGGGCGCATAGATTTKATAGGGCCTCATTCATTTCCATTTCATACATTTATATGTAATGCCAAAATATATAAAGCACTAGAAGTTACGCACCCATGCCATATTGTACACGGTGCTTTAATAAGCATGATCACCACGATGTTTCACTTGAATAATAAGTAATTCTCTAATTTCCAATTATAATTACATTGCCTCCGTCTTGCTGACGTACAGCATAACATATTTTACGTTCATAATAATCCATCACGTTACTCTATTATTCATAAAATTAAAGTAAATTATTAAGACCTAGGGCATTTTTAAGAATTTTATTGATATTTTCAATTTTCAATTGAATACAAATAATGATTATTTTAAAATTTACAAACTGTGTGACAGTAACTATTAACTATTGCTTCATAACTGAAATTGCAGCTAAGGCCTCCAAGATATATGCCCAAGAACCTAGATAATAATCTTACCTTTAAATTCATAATTGATCAGTTAATC